ACATGTTTCTTAGGATGGTCTCAATATCAGGCAGTGGCGACATGAGTTTCCTGGTGTTCTTGTTCTGCTGACGAGTGTCCAGGACGGTTTGAAGACGAAGCAAATTGTCTTTAGTAACTCTCTTCATCATTATCGGGTACAGCGTTGGTACCACTGAAGAACTCCCATCTCCCAGTACGGATGTAATCATCGCGTTTCTCCTGCCAGAGAGGCCTTAGTGCCTCGGGGCAGTGAGATTAGCGCCAAGAATATACTTGATGCTCGTCTATCAACAGAATAATGTGGTTGATTTCTTGGATGGGATGAAGTGAGGTCTCATTGGCTTCTTTGCAGATATCCCGGGCATAAGCTCGCAATTCTTTGCGATATCTGTCAATAAGACTAGTCTCAGGTCCGGATTGTTACAGTTCAAGTACTTGGGTCTGTGATCCACATATAGGCAATGGGTCAATACTTCTAATCTTAATTTCAGGGGGATTAAAACCCAATAGGACCTGATGTTGAAACAGAAAAGGCATTCCGAGGATCATGTCATAGGATTCGAGGTTAGCAATGTCGAAGGTACGTTTGCAGTTGATTTCTTGGTAAGATAATTCAACGGTGGTGTTGGCTTTGACGACACTCTGCGACCCTGAGACGGCTAGTTGCAAGGGTATCGGTTTCTCTAAGATGGAATATCGGAGCTTAAGCTGATCAATGATGGTGGTTGAAAGGAAGTCCGTCAGTGAGCCTGAGTCTAAGAGGGCTCTACAGGGCTTGCCATTCACAAGGACGATGACTACGATGGACCGAGGAAGAATCCTTGAGGTAGACTTCAGTCTAGCATATTGTCGTTGGAGGGTTCTCAAGTCCGGAAGATCGGTACGCTTACTGCTGCTCATGCAGTATAGAGAACTAATGCTAGTGTGTTCTTCGTTGTCTGATGTCTCACATTCTAACAGAGGGGGTAAATCATTGTCTTCAATTTGAGGCGAGGGGGATAAGCATCCTTGATCATCATGCTCGCTCAGGCTCAGCAGTAAGTCAGCTGCAATGTCAACGGATGGGTGGTCAGTTGACGACATGGTCATTACTAGTGATGAGCAGGGAGAGTTATTCCAGGACAGTTTGAAAGACAATTTGGTGAGAATGACGTCATTGAAGTTCCAAAGTTTCAAATCGACCAGCCAAGTGACTGCATCGAGCTCAGGGTTGCATAGTTGACTAAAGTATATTATGTAGTCGTCATAATTGTGGTGATCTGATAGAAGGTAGGTGTCTGGGCCGCCATGGTTAGAAAGGCAGAATATATCTAATGCAAAAGGGTCATATAGGGGGTCTACCAGTTCGTCAGTTGGGAGAGGAACAGCGAGTAGGAGGGTAGCAAGAGTCTGCTGCTCGACAATACAGCGTTTTTCTGCGTTTAATTCAGATAGTTCGTCCAATCCTACTGCCATCCCATACAGCCCAAAGGTGATACCTTCTTCAATCGCTGTGGATCTGATGTCAGCATTTGAGATGGTCACTGTGTTGGCTCGGATGGCGGGGGTGTTGCACCCAGGGGGCTTGTACGTCAGACAATGGCATTTTGGACAGTCTTTAGCTAAGTGTCCCAGGATCAACTGCCCATCCTGCACTATGTACACTAGTTTATATAGGTAAAGGAGGATTGGGGAAAGTAGGAATGAAGAAAATAAAGGAGGGAAGAAACGGGGTGAAGCAATAAGAGTGAATTGATCAGACTTGATCAATATACTAATTGGTAACCATCAAGTCGTTAGACACCTAGGTCTTTTTAACGAACATCACAAACAGGGTACTGCTGACCATTCACCTACAATATTAAGCTACATCAGTAATGATCCAGTTCACATGAAATGATACTTACCCCCCACCATTGGATGATAGACATGTTATCGGGAACTGAAGTGGGTGAATTAAGATAGAGGTGGAACTCCCTCAACCATGGCAACTGGGGATCCACCTCCGACTCTTCCGGCTCATCATCACCACTCTCATCATCACTGGAAAGCTCTCGGAGAAGTCCATATACCTTACCAGACTTCTTCAGTGATGACAGAACACCATGCTCACCATACAACTTAATATGCTCTTCCTTGAACTAGTCTAGATGTAAGTGTATACTTTCTTTCAAAAAAAAGAAGACCCACAATTTGTTCTGCTTCCTTGAGAGCCTCAGCATGCATGACCTTACACCAAAAGTGTTTGATGTGGGAGTCCTTCTGTGATGGATCAAGCACTAGATACAACAGGCCTGGGAGTTAATATTAATATTACTACAATCCACATCACCTACACATTGCAATGATGTAAGCATCACACTCCAAACTTTGATTGTAATACTCATGGATCTTTGTAACACCTTGTTGTAAGGCTTCCCAAAATGGCTCATACTTGGGATTCTCTGAATGTGTCAACCATGCCTTGTGTAGGGCCTCGAGAGCTGGCAAAGCAAGGTGAAGGGATGCTCCTTTGTCAGATGAAAAGCTTTGCTGAGCTTTGTCAGCATGCTAAAGTGATAATCAGTTTTGATAATGACAACAAAACAACCTAATACTTGCAGCAAGAAGAGACATAAATAATGTAATGCGAGCCCATTCATCTTCACATAACTTCAACTGATCAATTTTGGCACATTTTGTAAGGTTAGTCTCACGAAGGCCGAGCTCATAGACAAAAGTATCAACATACTAAAGAACAGTTAGTTTCAACTTGTCAGTTATATTATCATACTCACGGCTCTCTTCTTCTCAGCACAGTCAAGCATAACATAAGTTGAGGACCACCGGATGGGCATGTCGAGTAGTAGTTGTGAGACAACAGGGCTTGGGTTAGGCTGACAGGTCTGGATATCCTTCCAAAGTTGTTTTCATTGGGCAGAGGACTGTGCCTTGTATCATTAGTCAAATGACATTGGAATGTTTTGAAAATGACATACCTTGACTGCAATTGCTCGCACAAGGCCGATTTTGTCACGGCACCCATGTGCCTGAGGGATAGACAAATCTGGAAGCTCAGGGTTATAGTATGGGGCACTGCTATACAAGGAAATGATAGCTCATGTCACAAGATGAATGACATGAGCTAAACACCTGCAAGGTTTACATTAGTACAAGCGTGAAACAAATAGTTAGTTAACTATACCTAATGTGTCACTTTTTGGGGATCCACATCATCCCTGTCCCTTGCTTTATTTGAAGTGCCAGTTCATCGAGCATCATATCGTTATTTGAAGCATTGTCACACGTAATATGGCCAATCTAATCTCACTTGAGTACAACACAACAAGGCATTTGAAAGTACCTTACCTTATGAGTAATACCCACTCTGTCCACAATCTTAAACAGTGCCTGACCGAGGCGTTTTCCGTTGTGCAAGTTGTCGAGTTGTGTGAACCCCAGGACAGCACGTTCAAGCTGCCAGACACTGGGTGATGCTTCCTCAATCCAGTGGCCAGTGGTAGCAAAATAACCATCTGCATTACTTGCCTGCCATGCATCACATGTTAAGTGGACAATGCCGGATACAAGCTTGCTCTATTTGCAATATCAGTTGATGATAATCAGACGAAACAAAAACTTACATTGAGCCGGTCCTTTAACTTCGTCATCTGTGTCTTGAACAAGTCCATGATGTCGTGGCATGTAGCATTACGATTTGGTAGGACCACACCATTCGTAGCACAGGCTGCTATGTTGATCATGTTCTTGAAGCTCAGATGATCTACAGCTTGGATTGGCTGTAAAATCATGTTAAAAATCATATTAAATACAAGTAATGAATACTTACCTGGCTAGTAGATATCAGCCATTCGATGGTGGCCTCATGGAAGAGCATATTGGTATAAGGTACAACTACCTTGCTGGGGGGAATCTCTTGGAGGTGTCCATTGAGACTTGTTTGCCGCACGTTCGCCACTGCAGCTGCCATTTTGCATTCCTTGACATCTTGAGGTAGCATCAACTTGAAGGTGTTAGTCTTGCACCATTGTCGATAGGCATCCTATAAACAGTTAATACACGAATGAAGCGTCAAGATTCAAATGCTAAACTTACCAGATGCCGAAAGGCAATATGGTGTTGACACAGTTGACAGTGTTGCTAACAATCTGGCATGGGTAATGTTTTTTTCTGTTAAGGTCATGCTCAAGGGAGAGGTTACTCAAAGGGCTTCGGCTTCAGCTCGTGTGCTGTGCCCCTTACCTGAGTACGTGCCCTTTAATTTCCTGGGGGACAGAGGGGAAGTCCGACAGAAGTCCGGGGAGTTCTGGAGGACAGAAGTCAGTGGAGTTTGGCAGAACTCCAGAAGACTTATATGGGGACAGAGTAAGGCTACTATGGAAGTCTGGAGTAGAAACAGAACAGAGTTTAGACTACCCTAAGGTAGAGCCGGAGAAGTAGTCCTAAGGTTTAACCCCTAAGACTCGGAGGTGAACAAGAGGTGAGACTCAAGTCCGGAGATTGCAGGAATGAGCAGAACTAAGATGGAGAGTCGGAGGTATAGTCAAAGGAATCAATCCTAAGACTCGGAGATTGACAAGAGACAAGCTCAAGTCCGGAGGTACAGGAATGAGCAGGAACTAAGGTGATATTCGAACTGAGGAGTTCCGGAGTATTACAGGGGTTTATATACTGTAGGTATCATGTAAGTAAATCAGTCAGCAAAGGTAAGGGCTATGTACAAAGCATATGGAAAGTCTATTACTAAGTATAACGGATCAAAGCAGTGAAGTCGGAAATGAAGTAAGAATGGACGGATCAGTAAGCATAGCGGAATAGGACATAACTGGTAACCGGAGCAATAGCTAATCTAAAAGGAGTTAGGGGTGAGTGCAGAGATGAAGGTGGAGCGCCAGGCGGAATAGTAAGATGGAGGACCGGACTTTAATGAAGTAGCTCTGGAATTCCGGATCCAGAGGTACAGGATATGACATTTTCTATGAATTCATCAGTTGGGAGGTAGCAAATCAAAGACATTACTTACTTGCATGGCTCACAGTCTCAGACCATACAAGTCTTTCCATCCTTGGCCTTGTGTGCGTATGGCTTGCCGAAAAATGTGCTAACGTCGTGGCTCTTTTCCTTGCGTTGAACAGTCAGGGTTGTGGATATATCTTGTACATCAATGTCAGATAAAAAATCTTCGGTGTCCATAGGTGTTGCATTGTGTGTGCTCAGAGTCTCGTCTGTTGATCAGAAGCATTGACAAGTAGCTATAGAATCAGACAATGTAAATACATACCTGCAGTATCCATTACAGATGGGCTGGAGGCACCATCTGTGAACAACGCCTCACAATCAGTGTTTGCCTGCAACGTTCGAACACAGTGGTCCTGAGATGAGATGTACAAAAGAACTTACTGTTATGAGGTCCATTTTCCATTGCACCCTCGTCAGATGCACATTTGTCTACCACATCCTCTGCTCCTTGCTTGCTGCTGGTTGGTACTGGCACTGGGGTGCTGATGGCAGGCATGGGAGGTTTGTTCCTATGGGCTGAGAGCTCCGGAGTCACATCGTTGTTGGCGTTGGTGAGTCGTGATGAAAGTGTCACAGTTTGTTGTGGTTGAGACACGACATGTGCTGACATGGACTCGTCATCAGATATGATGATGGACATTATGAAAGAGATGAACGATTATCAAGATGAACGACTATCAACCAATATGACTAACTTACGGTGCATACTTGCCTTTTCGAGAAAATTTAAAACTATATAGTTTTAATGTTTAACATCGGCCACGGACTTTTTACAAAGGGAAAAGCCAGGGCTCAGGCCCAGTCAAACTACAGGCCAGGCCCTAGGCCCTTGTAAGCCCGGCTTGTGGGCCTGGCCTGGCCTGGCCTGGCCTACATAGGGCCTGGCCTCAGGGCTCGAGGGCCTGAGGCCTGGCCCTGCACATCACTACTCACCCTGAGGTCCTGAGCTTTTAGTATGTTGTACATAAATAAATAGCCATTGTTTTGAGCATATTTACAAGGCTATATGTCAAAATGCGAAAAAATGTGAACTGTTTTATGTTTTCAGGGGTGTTCAAGCTATTTACTGATGTAGGGCGCTCTAGAGGATTAAACAAGTGGTGGAATATGTTTATTTATGCTCTAATATATGCTACATATCATCAGAATTGCTCCCCTACTAAAGGAGTAAAAAATTGAGTTTGTTTTAGTCCTAGGTAGCGATGGAAAAGTTTGGTTCAGTCCAGTTCACCAGGAAGTTTGGTGAACCTTGAACCAGATGTCATGTTCAGTTCAGTGATTTTGCTGAATGCTGGACCAAATGTGCTCAAACACATTCAGTGTGTTTGGTTCACGTTTGGTTTGGCATTTGAACACTGAATGTCTGAAATTTGTGCACAAGGTTAAAAACACTGTGTGGCATCATGCGAGGGGCTTAGTGATGTTCTGGCCCAGCTTGGGCTTAAAGCCCCAGCTTAGGCTCAGCCTGGAGGGGGCTTGGGCTCACTAGATTTTAAGCCTGAGCCATGAGCCTAAGCTAGCCAAAAGCCGGGGCTTGGGCCCAAGCAAGCTGTGGGTAAGCAGCTCAAAAGATGAGATCACGCACTTCCTGAGAGTGGGACATCGCTGTGGGACCAAATTCTCGAGACCAGCTTGCAATGCATCAGCAATACTCTGAGTAGCATTGGCAGGCTTCTGTAAGAATCAGTAAGATGATGTCAATATTGGTAAGTAAAAAGAAAACAAGGAAGGAAAATGATGCACCTGAAGGCATTTGGCACCTTGAAGACCACTACAGTGTGTCCCAACTTCCAAACACAACCCATCAATCTCTTCACCTGGGGAATCAACTTGGAACGAAGTACACACATGATGTGACACAAAAGTCACTCGGTGTGAAAGGAATCTAACCCCCACAACATCACACAATTCTAGGACTTGTTATGCTGATGGTAATCAAAGGAGGTTTCAAGTTTAATCAATCTACTAGAGGTGGCACTCTAGAGAAGTCAAAGGAATCAAGGTGGATTCACTAGTGTCTAACTAGTAGTCTGAGGATGTATCTGGGTAATTCCAGCATAGGTCAAGATGAGGAATCATCGAGACCACAACCTGCTTATATACAATAGTAAGTCAGGGTCCAGGGTCTAGGGTAAGTAAGTAATATGTCCATATAAGTATAGATAAGTGTCCATGGGAATACACATGGTGTATGCATGTTAAGGGTCTATGAGAATACACTAGGTATCAGCATGTAAGTAATATCCAAGGACTTGCCAAGGATAGATTGAGATTGATCTCAGATCAATGAATAGGGGTGTGCACCTGTGATAAGGTGAAGTCAGAGAGTAACCCTAGATAGGGTGATATCAGGAAATGGTGACACTGTGACATAGTGTCAATGTGAAGAGGTGAAGATGTGAAAGGGTGAAGAGGAAAATGAAAGGTGTCACAGACAACCGTAACAGGACTAGGTAGTGTTCACGTTTGGCATTTGGACACGTTTGAACATGTTTAAAAAGGTTTGGAGGAAGCTGAATGTAGAACCAGACTGGGTTCAGTTCAGCCTATACCCCAAACCTTGAACTGGACTTCAGTTTGGTTTGGGAAAAGTCTGGTTTAAACCGTGGTTCAGGACTGAACTTTTCCATCACTAGTCCTAGGGTACTGTGATACATATATTAGCCCTGTGGAGGCTACACAAGCTTCTACACCATGAAAAAAGTGCTGTATTAAGTCATTATATGTACATACATGTTAATCTACTATATATTTACAAGAAAACAACAAAAGGAGAGCTGTGGTGCAGCAGGAGAGGGCCAGGAGGAGGGTGGGAATGTCTGGTATACTAGAAGAAGCCCCAACATGATCAAACGAAGCCAGGAACTAGGTCCAGAGAACTGTGGATGGGTGCCAGTAACAAGATCAGAAACACAGATCCAGAACACTGCTTGAGATCTGGGCAAGATTGGGTGTTGCAAGGCCTTATGTCAGCGTGGTCTGTATGGTGATGCTTGATGCTTGAACACTATCACACTGTAGTACAGGTACCTCAGGGGTGATGCTTAATATTGAGGGTTAGACACATTTATGCTTAAGGATGTGTGTTTAATTAGACAGTTTTATGCTTAAGCCCTACAAGTACAGGTGGTTGAGCAGAGGGGGTGTCATACCAGATTGCTGCTGGACAAAGTGGGTAACTGATGGGCTGTGGTTAAAGGAGAATCTGGAAAAGGCGAGAGTAGTGGAGGAAACAGGAGATGGGGACTTTATAGGCGAGCCCGTCACAGGTTAGGTGCCCTAAAAACACCTGGGGATCGTCTTTCAGAGGATCCCCACTGCCATCCATCAAATCCAAGACATTCTCAATCCTGAGCAAACTAAAATACTCAGTAAGTGCACCAAGTTTTTCCACCTGCTCATAAGATAACTATGTTTGGTCTCTGGATTTCCAGAGAATTTCAAACATTGTGTCTGTTCATCACCCACTCAGTTTTGGAATCCTCAAAGTCCGCCACCTGCATCTCGAGCTGTCCAGGGAATAGTTTATCATCATTGGGAACATGAATCCATAGACACAATGAATGGAAGACGAGGTGGATTCCCCATTGCTTAAGCCTATCAGGCAGTTCTAACTTGAATGAGTTGTTTTTATAGTCCTCAATAATCTTATAAGGTTTAATGAATTTTGGCATGACCTTTCATGTGTGCCCCTTGGGTAGCAATATATTTTTAGTGGATACATATACCAAGTCTCCCTTGACCATGGGGCATGCTCGTCTACACTTATTAGTCTTGTAAGTCTGCTTTACTCTAGCAGATAACATGGCATCATGAGCTGACATTATAGTGTCCTTCATTCTTTGGGAAAACACCCAAACTCCTGGGTACTCTGAAGATCTGGGAGTGTCCTAGATCATCGCTTGTGAGGTCTGTCCAGATCCAATAAAAAAAGGTGAGAGTAGTGTGGATTCCAATTGTGCAAGGTTGATTGCAAATTCTATTCCAGGAAGTTTAGCCACCCAGTCCCGCTGATTAGGGGCTATGCAGGCTCTTAGCATTTGAGTAATGGTTTGGTTTGCCTGTTCAGTAGACCCGTCAGTCTCGGGGTGATATGTGCTCAACATTTTAAGCTGTATGCCTATAAGTTTATTCAGTCAAGTCCAGAAATTACTAGTAAACAGAACATCTCAGTCACTGATTATGGCTCTAGGTAGCTCATGGTGTTTATATACCTCAGAGAAGACCAATTCAGCAATATCCTTAGCCATATAGTTCATTTGGCTCAGTACCAGATGAACCATTCCCGATAACAGGTCAATTATAACTGTTACAGAATCATATTCCCCATCCTGGTCTTTCAACAGTGGGAGTGGGCCAACAAAATCAATTACAATGGCTTTCCAAGGTTGAGATGCCACAGGTAAGGGGTTTAGAAGGCTGTATGGCTTTCAGTGAGGCAGCTTACTGTACTGACATATTTTACAGGAAGTACAGAACAATCACACATTGTGAGCCATGGATTTCCACCATACATGCTCTCGGAGATAGGATAGTATCTTATCTGTGCCCTGGTGCACCAGAATTGAATGCGCCTGGTCAATGACCGCTTCTATCAGTCATCTTTCCCTGACCTTGATGTCAGGTATGCATAGTGATACTCTATCTTTCAATTTGATTCTCACTAATCTGTCCTTAACCTCAAAGTTTCGGAATTCCTTTGGTGACTCCAGGATTTTTCTAAAGAGTGGGTCTTCACTGTATTGGTGTCACAACTGATCCAACAGTTCTGTCTCATGTGGGTAAGTAACTGGTATTACTTCTGGCATGGTAACTTCTCCCTGTTGTTCCTTATCCAGGTTCTCCTGGTCCCTCACCTCCATTCATTCAGAAGGGGTGTTTGGGCCATGTAGGACAAATATTCCTGCCATCTGGTGGGTGAACTCACTGCTCGTTTCAGGCCACCCAGTTTCTGCAGGCGCCACAGGCTGCCGTCCATGGCCCTTCCCTAAAGTGCCACCTAGTGATGGGGAACCTGTTTCTATTGAAGGTACAGTCCCTGAAGGGACTGGTGGAATGGCCAGCCATTTGTTTGCAGGAGTATGACCACCTGTCGAAGAAAATGTTGCCCCTCAGCCCTATCCAGTGTGTTGAGGAGGGTCATGTCCATCCCAGGGGATCAGGTCAGCATGCCCCTCCCCATATGCCCTTTTCTCTGTAGGCCGAGTAACCCTACCACTTCGGTGTGGGGTCATTTCCTCAGCTTTAGTGCCCACCAGGACTGGCATACTCACCAGCCCCGATACTTCAGCTGTAGGTGCACCCTCATCGTGTGTCACATACTCACTAACAGCCCACACAGTTCTGGGTGCATCAAAATTACACATTTTGGATAGAGTGTCTGGTAGAACATTGTGTGCCCCCAGCAAGTACTCTATGGTGAAGTCGAACTTACCCAATTTCTCCATCCAGCAGGCTTGTCTTGGCCCCAGCCTTTCAACCAGGACCCAAACTCTGCGTGTGAGCACTAGATAGTAGATTAATGATTAACTGTCCAAAGCTGTCTCTCACTAATTTATTTTTTTCACTTGCAGGGGTAGAAACTGAACTGGCTCTAGTGTGAGTGAAGATTTTATGTCATGGTGGATTCTGTTTTTGTCA